TTTCCCCCCGGCAGTGCCCGCATGCGCGGGCAGGGCGAGGGCCGCGCCCCCCGGCCGGACCCCCGGGCCGAGCCCATCGACAGCTCGGGGGGGCCGGCGCTGGCCCTGCCCTCGGGGGGGGCCCTGAGCGCCCGGGGGCTCCCCCCAGGCCCCGCCCGGGAGCACCTGGAGAAGGCGCTGCTGGGCCAGGAGGCCGAGAGGTGAGGGGAGACTCACCTGGGCACACCTGGGGGGGGATAAAATATACCTGGGAGGGGTTAAAAACACACCTGGGACCCCAAAAACACACCCAAAAACTCACCTGGGGGGGATAAAATATACCTGGGACCCCAAAAACACACCCAAGAACTCACCTGGGGGGGTAAAAACACACCTGGGGGGCTAAAATATACCTGAGACCCCAAAAACACACCCAAGAACTCACCTGGGGGGGATAAAATATACCTGGGACTCCAAAAACACACCCAAGAACTCACCTGGGGGGGCTAAAATATACCTGGGACCTCAAAAACTCACCCAAAAACTCACCTGGGAGGGGATAAAATGCACCTGGGAAGGGTTAAATCATCCCAACAACTCACCTGGGGGGGGTAAAAACTCCCCTTGGGGGAATAAAAAGTACCTGGGGGGATAAAAACACACCTGGGAGGGATAGAAAGACACCTGGTGGGGATAAAACAGCCCAAAAACTCACCTGGGGGGGTTAAAAACACCCTAAAATGCCCTGGGGCTCCCTAAAATATCTCCCAGTCCATCCCAGTCCCTCCCAATCCCCTCCCAGTCCCTCCCAGTCCCTCCCAGTTCCCTCCCAGTTCCCCCCAGTCCCTCCCAGTTCCCCCCAGTCACTCCCAGTTCCCCCAGGAGGAAGAAGCTTCGCTTCCACCCCCGGCAGCTTTACCTGAGCGTCAAACAGGGGGAGCTGGGCAGGGTCATCCTGATGCTGCGTGAGTCTGGGACCCCAAAAATCCCAAAATTTGGGGGGGATTTGGGGTCATCCTGATGTTGCGTGAGTCTGGGACCCCAAAAATCCCAAAATTTGGGGGGGATTTGGGGTCATCCTGATGCTGTGTGAGTCTGGGACCCAAAAATCCCAAAATTTGGGGGGGATTTGGGGTCACCCTGGTGCTGCGTGAGTCTGGGACCCCAAAAATCCCAAAATTTGGGGGGATTTGGGGTCATCCTGATGCTGCGTGAGTCTGGGACCCAAAAATCCCAAAATTTGGGGGGGATTTGGGGTCATCCTGATGCTGCATGAGTCTGGGACCCCGAAAAACTCCACAAATCTGGAAAAATCCCAAAAATCCCATGGGAAATCCCAAAATTAGGGGGGGATTTGGGGTCACCCTGATGCTGCGTGAGTCTGGGACCCAAAAATCCCAAAATTTGGGGGGACCCCAAAAATCCCAGAGCGCCTGGGGGAATTTGGGGGTGGTTTGGGAGATCCTGGGAGGATTTGGGGTCCTTGGGGGGGGATTTTGGGGTGTTCTGATCCCATTTTGGTGTCCTTGACGCATTTTTGGGGTCTCTTTTCCCAATTCTGCTGTTTCTCACCCCAATTTCGGCTCCTTTCCCCCAGTGGACAACCTGGACCCGAATTTCCAGAGCGACGCCCAGAGCAAGCGCTCGGCGCTGCACGCGGCGGCGCAGAAGGGACACCTGGAGATCTGCCACCTGCTGCTCCAGGTGAGACACCAGTACAGACCAGTAACAC